TCTTCAAGTTGCCAAGGTTGAGAAACACTGATATAGGATCTCCTGCTCAAGCAGGGGGGCTGGACTAGAAGACCTCCAAGGTCCCTTCCAGCTCTATTCTCCTTCAAAATCAGATTCCTGACCCTCTGCTCCGTCCGGCCCTCTTCCTATCCCCCCAAAAGATTCTGCTGCAATGGGAACTGGTTCCCCTCCAATCACACATCCCCCCCCTCCACCCTGAACGAGTGGGGCAAGGTGGCCTTGATCCCGGAGACTCTATTTTGGGCAGGTGACCCCCCCTCCCTCCCTCCCTCCCTCAAGGTTTCAATGACTTCCCACAGGCAGTGCCAGCATGGCGCATTCCATTAGCCTTGGGAACATTGCATTCCCTGGTTCTCCCCTTCCCTCCCCCCCCACACCCTCCCCGCTTCTTGGAATGACACACACACACACACACACACACAGAGAGAGAGAGAGAGAGAGAGAGAGAGAGAGAGAGAGAGTTTGCCTGCCCCTTGGCACTTCTCTTTCTTGGCCTGCCCGTTTCACCCGCGGCTGCCCCAGAAGCACCCAAATATCTGGTGACCTTCCAGAACTGGGTTGGGGATGGGGGCTTGCTTTGCTCATACGGGGCTATCCTGGGGGTCCTATTCCTCCACCCACCCCCACCACCCCCCAACCCCACCCTTGCCAGCCGGTGCCAAGGCACGAGGCCAGCCAGCCGCAGCTGCCTCCTCTTGCGAGACAAAAGAACGCATTCTCTATGCGCATCGCAAGCCTTCCGCGCGTTGCGCCCTCGCAACAGCCACGCAAAACAGGCCAGGGCGACCCCACCCCACCCCCAATTTGCAAGGAGGAGGAGGGGTTTTCCCCCCAACCCTGGAAAAAAGGCGTTTTGATAGGAGCAAAGGAGTGAGCGAGCGAAGGAAAGAACCGCTTTCCGGAGGAGGAGGAGGAGAAAGAGGAGGAGGAGGAAAATTTGCCTCTGCAGGTTTTTTACTCCGTGCCACAAAATACGCAGCTGTTACGCAGACACACACAGGCACACACACACACACACACACACCGGGAGATCTGCTGTTTTGAGGACGGGCCAAGGGTGTAAATCTTGACCCAGGGAAGTGGCCACCGCTGGGCGTTTGGATAAAGAGTGGGGGCCTGGGGGGTCTCGTGCCCAGGACATTCGCTCTGCCCTGCGAGACTCACTTTGGAAGATTATGGGCAACGGCATGAATAAGGTAGGAAATCAGATTTCTTTTTTAAACTTTTTTGAACGACATCTTCGCGAAGTGCGTGCACAACAGCCAGAGGGGGGAAAGGAGAAGGAGAAAGCGCGTTGAAATGCGCCCCTTCCCCAATTTACATCCGACAATTGCAAGGAGTATTTTGAGATGTTTTGTAAGGCCGTGATTCTTCGGGTTTTTTATGGCTTTTGGGGAGAAGTTGTCGCGTTGTCAACTTTCTCTGAGGACAGTGAGGTCTGCCTCACCTTGATGGGGGAGTGTGTTCCCTTGTGAGTCACTTAGGAGTGTAGCGGGGAAAGTTCTGAGCCAGGAATCGGGTTCTAATCCTGCCTCCAGGCATCAACAATCAGCTGGATGACTTTGAATCTCTCACTTTCACGTTTATTATTCCCCCTCCCCTCGTTCTTTGTTATTCAGGCTTTGCGTGAGACGTTAAACCCTAAACTGGGGGGGGGGTGTTAACCCACAAGTGTGACGTGTTAGGCCTGAAGCAATAAATTACAGGTACTCCTTGATTTATGACTGTTCACTTAGTGACCAAAGTTACAAACGTATTGAAAAAGGGGACTTAGGATTCTTTTTTCACACTTGCGACCGTTGGGGCATCCCCGTGGTTAAAATTCAGGCACTTGGCAGCTGACTCATATTTACGACGGTCGCCGTGTCCCGGGGTCACGTGATCCCCTTTTGCGACCTTCTGACAAGCCAAGTCAATGGGAGTAGCCAGATTCATTTAACAACCACCTTATCAGCTGCAGGGATTCACTTAACAACGGTAGTGAGAACGGTCGTAAAATGGCCCAAAATTTACTAAAGTGATGTTTCGCTTAGCAACGGAAGTTGCAGCCTCAATTGTGGGCATAAGTCGAGGAGTGCTTGTGTTGGGCATACAAAATCAGTTGATGGTTCTGTCAACCTGAAATGTATATTTTTTTTTCTCCTGTTCTTGGTTGACATATTAAAACCCCTAAACTGGGGTTTTAGCCAGCATAAATATTGGCTTCAGGTGGCCTGAAAAAATAAGAATAGAATAGAATAGAATAGAATAGAATAGAATAGAATAGAATAGAATAGAATAGAATAGAATAGAATGCAATGCAATGCAATGCAATGCAATGCAATGCAATGCAATGCAATGCAATGCAATGCAATGCAATGCAATGCAATGCAATGC